ATTTTTTAAACTCACATTAACTAAAGAAAGCTCATTATTTTTGTTATGTTTTTATTTTAACCACATTTTAGATTTTTAGTGTATCACACCTTATAATGTGTTTATGGAGGTGTTTGGCGAAAAATGTATGGCAATAGACTTTATGATGTCGCTTACCATCTATAATATTTGTTTTAGCACATTTGCATGTAGTAAAAATGATAATATACGTGTGGATATTTATTAATAACGATATCGACTGTGGTATTCCACAGTGTAATAAAACAACGTTTATTTTATCGATCTTCGATTAGTATAAACTTAGATATAAACAACTTCGATCATTCTTTGGCTGAATGTTACTACACCCATAGCCATTAAAAATGATTCGTATGTTTTCCAAACCGGTGAAATTACAAGTCCTTTTTAAAATGAATATATTATACAAAGGTGTCCGTTAAAATCTAGTGAGTGTAAAATAAAGTATAAATTACGCCAAGAATTACCGTGTATGACAATATTTTTTGTGCATTTAGGCCAATTTGAGCAATCTCCTTTCTGTAATAATCTAAATTCTAAATAAGAAAAAGCTGGTTATACTTTTTTATTTTTTATTAAAATGGCTAGTATCTTAAAACTTGACCACATTGTGTGAAATAAAACAGTTTCTTGTCCGTTATTCTCAGTATTCACAAGGTCTTCCGCCGTAGATTTGCGTAGCGTAGTTGTTAGAATTTCATACGCGATTATGAAGCCTTATCAGAATAGATATGAGTTTAAGTTTTCCAAAGCAAATAAAAAAAAATAACAAAAAAAATTGAGCTGACAGCTCCGACGCACGACTGGAGTTTACTCCTTAAGTTCGATGGTCTAACCAGACGACGAACAAAAAGAGTTTATTTAACTTATAAAACATTGATACTGTATGAAAGGGTAAATTAACAAATTAATGAAAATAATATCCACACATAAATATATATTTTTAGGGTTCCGTACCTCAAAAGGAAAAACGGAACCCTTATAGGATCACTTTGTTGTCCGTCTGTCCGTCCGTCCGTCTGTCAAGACCCTTTTTCTCAGGAACGCGTGGAGGTATGAAGCTGAAATTTATATCAATTACTCAGGTCTACTGTCCCTTGAAGCTGTGAAAAAATCAAACTTCTAAGCCAACGCAATCAAAAGATACAGCCGTTTATGCCGCAAATTTCCGCAACTTTTCGAAACTCGCACGGGAATCAAAACCTACAGGGTACTTCCCATGAACTTAGAATCTTGAAATTTGGTACGAAGTAACGTCTTATCGTACAGATAAAGGAAAAATTGCGAAAACTATAAATTTTTAGTTACATCATATAAGAAAAAATATTTTTGAAAATTTTAAAGTTACTACCACTTTTCTCATGAACGCGTAGAGGTATTAAATTGAGTTTGTACGGAACCCTCGGTGCGCGAGTCCGACTCGCACTTGGCCGGTTTTTTTCATTTCATATACATTTATTATAACTAATCGACGAAATATTTTACATTAAACTTTTTACAATAGTCAATTTCAGATATGCATAAATATATCATTAGGATCGGCCGGATCGGATCGATAAATTATGCAATTATTATTATCAGACTATTGTCATTTTTTTAAATATTAATTAAATCAACACTGTCTGCATTATTAATTACAGTGACAAGTGGTTTATGGTAACTAAAATAAGACACATGGACGTTCGTAGATACGTGGTTCACGAATCTTGAAAATACCGCATCAATGGTTATACCATACCTCGTTGTCCCCATTGGTCTATCAGAAACAATATCTAAATTCAGTTTAGATTTTAAAATTTTTATTAATGTCAATCCGTCATCTTTGTTTGTCAAAGTTGCGCGACATAGGATGCGCACTAAAAACGTAACGAGGTCATTAATCGATAGATTTTACTCCTCACATTTTTCTCATACCGGGCCCCTTATATATGCAAACGATTCTTAAGGAGTAAACTCCAATAAAAAACAAATGACGAATCGTACTTTTTATTAAAAGGCAAAATGGCCGTTTCACACCTCTGGAGGCGATTAGGGTGTCTAGAGCTTGGGGTAAGCGTTGGGGCAGCGACAATACTCGTATCTACCTAGGGTAGGTAGTGATTCATCAATTGTGCAAAATGGCACATCATATTCAAACAGTCCTACCCGGACGGTGCGTTCGCTTAGCCGCTCCTAAATATACGCTGACTGGATCATTTTGAGTTTTTGCAGTCTGCTCTGATCGTCGTTTTTTAGGTTGGTTGTCGGCGTCGATGAAAAATAAAATTTTGGGCTTTGTTGACGTCGATGTGACATGAATATTCATAACTAAAGAGTTCTATGTTAGAAATATAATCTGAAGGAGGTACTCTAGGTAGGAGGGTTTTCATTATTAATTTTTATTTTATTTGTTTTTAGTGTCCAGGTAGGTTTAATATTGTAATTTTAATAGATTTGTATTATCTGTGTTTACCTACCTTCTAATGTGAGCATAAAAATTCAAATGTTCTATTTTAGTCCTTATTTTCATTTTTTGGTAAAATATAGTATTGGTTTGCCAAAATATTTTTGAAATTACCTTCGATGGATTGTAAATTGTGGATACTTTTGTCTCATTTTAATTTTAATTTTCCTCTCTAGTAGTAGTAGTATACAGTTTGTTTTAATTTTATACATTGATAGAAACACTGTTTCATATTATACGGGAATGGGCGTTAAAACTGCAAAACAGTTTTTGTAAAACTAAAGCAGATTTAACGATTCATAATTTTATGTTCATTGCACTTGTTCAAAATAAAGTTATTATTATTATTATTTACAAACAATCTGACTTATAAATCGTAACGCCATGTCTTACTTGTAGAATTTTATAAATATCAATGTAATTATCTTTAAAATGACGTAAAGTTTAAATATTGGATTAGTGTCTATTTAAAAGTTTACTATCATATAAAAAATCTACATTTAATTCGTTTCTTACTAGGTATACCAGCTAAAACAGTTTCTAAAGAAGATTTTTTTTATATAAAAGTGAAAACATACAAAAAAATAATTTGGCACCACCGGCAAAATTAAATCCTCAAGTATCAAAATCATCCAAGCGTAGTGCAATCGAGCGTTACTTTTCGGCAAAGCAAATAAAGTTAGTTGGATAATTTGACGTGTCCCTGCGGGAATCGAACTTGCATCTGGGGTACATCCCGAGTGCATCGTGCACTCAGACGTAATGTAAAGCAAATTGGAGTAATAAGACCTCTCTTTTTTTTCACGTGAACGCATTTGAAATATTTATGGGCTTAATGTGTTTTTAAGAATGGTGCTTTTCATTAAAACAGTCGACTACTTAAGCATCTACATATTATTAACATATTATTAAATTATCAATTTCGTTATGTGCTAGTATTATTAAAAACGTAGATGCATAGTTTTAAACCTTATCATCTATTTAAAACTATCAAAAATAAAAAATAAAATCTCTTTTAGCGTTCAAGCTTATTTCCTTAAAATCCTATAATAATCTATACTAATATTATAAATAGAAAAGATTTGATTGTTTGTTTGTATGTTTGTTTGCTTGTATTGAATAGGATCCTAAACTACAGGACCGATTTGAAAATACTCGACTCCTACTGGTTGCAGCGTAATATTATAAAGCCTTAAGCCTTCCTCAATAAATGCGCTATCTAACGTAAAAAGATTTTTTAATATCGGTCCACTGTTTCCTGAGGTTTGCGCGTTCTACACACAACTAAACGGGTCCTAAACTACGCAACAAAATTTTCACCATCAGTTAAATAAATTGACATGGAAGGTTAACAATTTTATAAAGAAATTCATTGTGTATATTACAAGCTAGAGAATAAAAACTATAGTCTACACTACAGCTTTACACCGAAGCGAAGCGAGGGCGGGCCACTAGTTATTCGATACAAAGGCCGCTGTCACAAATAGTGTGTAATGTAAATTAAAAAAACGAGCGAGCCTTGCAGTAGTCGCGTATGATGTGTAACATTTAAAACCTCACCTTATATTAGTAAAAAAACACATAAAACCTACTACAAAAGGAATAAGCCATTTGACATAAAAAAAAAAGAAAAAGAAGAAGCCATTTGAACATTATGTTCTAAAATCAAATCAAATAGCGCGCGCTTTCGCGACTTCCTGTTACACACTTCCGTACCATTTCACGAAATTATTCCCACAAATTGCAGGAAAGCGAGAGGAAATATGTTACACATCAAAAACTAAACTATTATAAAACGTTACCAATAAAGTAACTAAACGCATCCTGATAATATAAAAAAAATGTGTGTCAGCTCCGACGCACGACTGGAGTTTACTCCTTAAGTTCAATAGTGTAACCAGACGCAAAAAGAGTTTTTTACTTAAAAAAGATTGATACTGTATGAAAGGGTAAATTAATGAAAATAATATACATATATAAATATATATTAATTTATTTCATATACATGTATTATAACTAATCGACGAAATATTTAACATTAAACTTTTTACAATAGTCAAATTCAGATGTGCATAAATATATCATTAGGAATGTTGATAAATTATGTAATTATTATTATCAGACTATTATCATTTTTTAAATATTAATTAAATCAACATTGTTTGCATTATTAATTATTACAGTGACAAGTGGTTTATGGTAACTAAAATAAGACACATGGACGTTCGTAGTTACGTGGTTCACGAATCTTGAAAATACCGCATCAATGGTTGTACCATACCTCGTTGTCCCCATTGCTCTATCAGAAACAATATCTAAATTCAGCTCAGATTTTAAAAAAAATATTAATGTCAATCCGTCATCTTTGTTTGTCAAAGTTGCGCGACATAGGATGCGCACCAAAAATGTAAGGAGGTCATTCATCGATAGATTTTACTCCTCACATTTTTCTCATACCGGGCCCCTTATATATGCAAATCGATTCTTAAGGAGTAAACTCCAAAAAAGTTTTATTTATATGTATGCGTGATTGTTTCAGGCCTGGACGCTGAGCTGTATTACGTGAGGGACGGCGTGGTGAACAACTATGCCACCGGCTTCATAGTACCGGTGCCTGCGCACATCGCAGACCTCGAGTTTATGTGGCAAGCGCTGGGGAGAAGACCGGTGAGTCATAAGATAAAAACTCTTTATTGCACAACACAGTTACAAAACAAGTTGAAAAATACAACATTGCACAAAGGGCGGTCTCGTCATGCACAAGACAAAATAATTAATATAATTTGTAAACTTGAACACAACACAATAACCTGTATTCGCAATAAAAAATATTTGAATTTGAAAAAAAAATGACATCTTTGACAACCCTCTATTTCTTGTTGTTTAAATTTTAAAGGTCCGTATCTATTTGTATACCTTAATTTCACATCATAAAACTATAAAATACACTAACTATAAACAAATAAGTTGTAGCAATTAAATTTAATAACGTTAAAAACTTAGCAATATAATTCTTAAATATTAAGTCGTAGAAATATTATTATTTATTCAGCGCCATCTATCATCATGCATATAAATTATTCAATATCGAAATCCACTTTGAAAAGCAATGGACAAGTACAATATATGTGTGAACCTAGTAGTTGCATTTGGAATGTAAGTTAGAGGGAGCTAGTGTGCAATTTCTTTTGAATGAGATGCGGAAATGGATGTGACGTCACATTAATGTTCTGGAAACATTGAAAGGCGGAGTCAGCAAAACCGGTCCGTGTGCTTCCTCATACCAAATATGGTGATATGAAAGAAATTTGCAATGACGCTGTCACGTGTTGTAGTAGCCTATAAATAGCAGTGCACAAACAGATTCGCTCTTTTTTTTGGCTGATAGAACCTTGAAGACCATACTTAGAAAATAGCATTAAGACTAGCAGTGGTAGTCAGTGCATTAGATACTTAATATTTCTCCCCGGATTAACGGGTCCATTAATTTGGCTAATTAATAACAGTAATAGTCACAATTACTTGATCCTGATTGGAATCTCCTTGGAAAAATATATATATGAGCCTGGGAAGCTTCCTTGAGCAAAAAAAGTGACGTGTTCACGTGATGACAGCAAGTCCTGCTTCATCCCTGAGGACATTTGAGTGATCCTGATGCTCCCATGATCTTGCCAAGCTAAGTAAAACTTATAACTTCTTGATATTTAACCAGTGCATACTCCGGAGAACAATTTTTGTTTAACGTGATAAATTCTATTGGTAAACTGTAAAGCCATTATAAGTACATAACAATTTTTATTGTTAAATTTTTAAAACTTAGTATTTTATAACTTGTTTAATAATTTGTGTATATAAGAAACTTAAATTGAGTATTACTGTATTAGCACATGATCTTGAATGTTTGAATAGCTATAAATCAAAAGAAAAATCTTTGAAGAAATATAACTATGTATTTTTAACTTGAATGTGACTAGTATTAAGTTTTAACCATGATGAGATAAGATCTGAATCTTTTTTTAACAATATAGTATCTTGTTCACTGCGGTTTTAGACATTTTCATTTATCTCCCTCAAATCACAGTATCACGGCGCCCTGATTTTAAATTAAATAAGTTTCGAGTCTCATGTAAGCCCTGAAATAGTCGGTGGTAACTAAAATTGTTACAAAATGGCGACCAACTTTAGGGCCGAGCAATAAAATACTGTATTTGAGGGAAATACTGGTGTGCTGATATGATGATAAAAAGGTTGGCGGAAAAATAAATGCTTAAATCCCCAATCAATCTGAACGGCACACTAGAATTTAACATCTAATCAAAAAAAAATTAACTTAAAAATCTTTAATATTCAGAATTTGTACTAATGTGTTAATATGATGATAAAAAGATTGGTGGAAAAATTTAATGCTTAAAATCCCCAACCAGTCTGAAAAACACACTAGCATTAATAAACTTAGCACATTAGAATTAATCAACTTATACTACAATAACACTTTCGTATTGATTGGATGCGTAAAAAATTGACCTTGAACAGTGAACAAGATAGTCTTTAAGAATCGTAACTTGTAATAATAAAAGTACCCTCCTTCAAAAAAAAAAAAAAAATTTTATAAATTCCTTTGTATTTAACTTTCTTAGATTAAATAACTTGAATAAGTAGCTTGATTTAAAAACTTGATTAAACGTAATTTAATAATTAACTTAATAATTAACTTAGTAACAGAAATAACTGACTTTAACTTGAAAAAATCTGAGAAAATGCTCTCTATACAAAAATATGTAAACTACTTAAGAAAGGATGAAATCATATATGAATTGGATATTCTTGGCATTTCCACAGCTCCTGACACATCGGTGGATGCACTGAGAAAGCAGCTTCGCCAAATTTTTAAGCTGAAGAGACGTGGCAGCATCAAGTGTGCTCCAGTGATCACACCACTCCCGGCAAGCGAGCTCAAGGCATGTACGCCAAAAATTGCTGAGCTCGAGGATCTGCTGTCATCAGGTGACCTAGGAAAGGACAGTAATCTTCACTTACGTGTGTCAGTTAGGGCTAATTATCTAATCGATAGACTTGCTCGATTGGAGGTTGACAATGCTTCTCTTGTGGATTTGCGCCACAGGCTCATACGTATCTTAGCTCAGGTAGAACAGGAAGATGAAAGTAGTTCAGACGAATTAAGTGACAAGGAAGGTACTCCCAAGTGTAGTAAAACCGGCATGAAGGATGTGAGAGAACAAGAGACGGATGAATATGTGTTGCCCATCTCGAAAACAAGGATGAATGAAAAGAATGGAAGTGAGGAATTAATTGTCATTAAAGAAAAACCAATTAACTTAAATTCACTCAATTTAAAATACAATGGTTCGAGTTGCGTTAGAAGTTTTATTGAGAGGTTAGAGGAACTTAGACAGGCCCGCGAGATTCCGCAATCTCGTATGCTGACAGCATTTTCCGATCTCTTAGAAGATTCTGCATTGGCGTGGTTTAGAAGTAACAAAGCAAACTTTAACTCATATTCTGATCTATTGTTACACTTAAGAGAGGATTTTGATATTCCGGATTTAGATTATCGACTTAAAAACGAAATTAGACAACGCACACAAGCTAGACAAGAGTCAATTGTGAGCTATATCTCCACGATGCAAGGAATGTTTGCGAGATTGTCTATTCCCATGTCATTAGAAGAACAGCTAGAAATTTTAATGCATAATATTCGTCCGGAATATATGAAAGAGTTGGCTCTTCATAACGTTGATTCTATTCTCAAGTTAAAACAATTAGGAAAGCGCTTGGAGTTGGCTCAAGTCCGTGCAGAGAAATTTACGGAACCCAATTTGAATAAATTATTTATTTCGAATGACCTTCAGTCACGAAGAATAAAAAATAATTTCAAACCAACCCGACAGATCTCAACCGTAACTTTACCTCAAAATGTCTCAAATGATAGGAGGTGTATGAGATGTCAGAGTCGAGAGCATTTCACTAGAGAGTGTGTAAATTCGAGAGAAATTCTTTGTTTTAAGTGTGGTAAAAAGGGCGTAAGACGACCTGAGTGCCCACAATGTAATCCAAGTAATAATTCAAAAAACTAAAAAGTGGGAACTTCACATATAATTACGGTAAAAAAAGGTCACCCATTAACTTAAAAAACCGTGAAGTTCTCTTCCATAAAAAAAAGTTTGACAATAGACCTTATTTGCAATTTAAAATATTAAATGTAGATGCGATAGGACTTGCTGACTCTGGAGCGTCATGCTCGATACTCGGCAAAAACTCGCACCTCATCTTTCTGAATTTAGGCTTTAAACTTAACACTTTAGATAAAGAGCGTATTGTAAAAACCGCTAATAGCACTGAATTGCATTGCGTAGGTTACATGTCTCTGCCCATTGAATATAACTCAATACTTAAGGTAATTACATTCTATGTTGTTCCGGAAATTACTACACCAATCATATTAGGTATTGATTTTTGGCACCATTTTGGTTTGACAAAAAACTTGATGTCATCCAACTTTAGTAATATCACTTTAAACTCAGAAAATCCTATTAACTCAATATCATTAAAAAACGGGTTAGAAGATTACAATAACTTAACGACGGCGCAAAAGCGAATAATTAATAAAATAATTGATAAATTTGACTTAATTAACACAGAAAAGGTTGGTCTTGGTAGAACTTCATTGGAACACCATAAAATAGATACTGGTAACCATAGTCCGATTAAACAGCGTTATTATCCCTTATCACCTATCAAGCAACTAGCACTCGAGAAGGAATTAGATAAAATGTTAGCCCTGGGGGTAGTTTCTCCTTCCCAATCGGCTTGGAATTCTCCAGTAGTAATGGTAGAAAAACCCAATGGTGAAACCAGATTATGCCTAGACTCTCGAAAACTTAATTACGTCACAAAACCAGACGCTTATCCCTTGCCTTATATTAACCAAATATTAGATCATCTTAACAACGCTAAATATTTAACCTCAATTGACCTTAGTGCCGCATATTGGCAGATTCCTTATGACTCTGCAGCATCTGCTGAAAAGACAGCTTTCACAGTTCCTCGTAGAGGCTTATTTCAATTTAATGTGATGTGTTTTGGGTTAGTAGGGGCGTCAGCAACCATGCAACGCTTAATGGATAAATTATTTGGCCCAGAATTCGATAATAAGGTATTTGCTTTTCAAGATGATATAATTTGCATTAGTAACACTTTCTCAGAACATATTGAGCTCCTAGAGAAAATATATCAGCGCCTGAAAGAAGCAGGCCTGACAATAAATAAAAAAAAATCACAGTTTTGTCGCAAAGAGCTCAAATATTTAGGGTATTACATTGATAAACATGGTTTAAGAACAGACCCTGGTAAAGTAGATATAATCCTTAACTATCCTACACCCTCGAACCCCAAGGAGGTAAAAAGATTCCTTGGAATGGCAGGTTGGTACAGAAGATTTGTGAATAATTTCTCTGAAATAAGCAAACCGTTATGTAAACTCACCCGTAAGAATGTGGATTTTGAATGGAACTCTGAGGCACAGAAATCCTTTAATTTGCTTAAAACTGCCCTTGTTTCTGCCCCTATTTTAAAAATGCCAGATTATTCGCGCCCTTTCCGTATTTTGACTGACGCATCTGCATACTCAGCGGCGGCCGTTCTCACCC